CCCACCTTCTATAGTGATTTGCGCGATTTGGAGTAGGAATTGGACACGTGGGATCATCACAGCTCTTGGCTAGCCTGGTGCGCGCCTACAATTCTGACAGAAGCAGGCTGCGGGCGTTCCCATGATTTGACTTTTGCATACTGACTGAACCTTACGTCAGCCCTTATATTTTTTAGGCATAACATAGCTTAATTAAACCTAAATTAATCACACATTTGTATTGATCATATATTACAATAACCCTTCATACCTAAATTGAGAGCCCCTCTCTCACTGAAAGGGACTCGCATATTTTACATCTGATTAGCTACTCTCTCTCTCTCTCTAGAATTTTTTAGCGTTTGATACCTTGTATTACCATTGTAAAGTCAGTCAGTCAAAGCGACCTGACCCTTATCATCAATATAAGCACTGAATCTGCGGGTTGGTGACATTATCCATGCAAAATCCTTCTTTATGTCACATTGCCCACCTTTTATAGTGATTTGCGCGATTTAGAGTAGGGATTGGACACGTGGGATCATCATAGCTCTTGGCTGGCCTGGCGTGCGCCTACTATTCTGACAGAAGCAGGCTGCAGGCGTTCCCATGATCTGACTTTTGCATGCTGACTGAACCTTACGTCAGCCCTTATATTTTTTAGACATAATATAACTTAATTAAACCTAAATTAATCACACATTTGTATTGATCATATGTTACAATAACCCCTCATACCACTATAAATTTATAGATGTTGATACAAAATATATATGTAAACAGTAATGATAATATATATATAACCTATAATTTTGATAATTTAATAACATATTTAACCTATGATAAATATATGTATGATAATAATTTTGTATATACACAATTACACATTATATATATATATATAAAACAAATTAATCACACATATATATTGATCATATATTACAATAGACTTTCTTTCCACTATAAATTTATGGGTGTTGATACAAAATATATATGTAAACATTTAAAATATTTAGGTATTTACAAATTAATCACACGTATGTATTAATTATATATTACAATAGACTTTCTTTCCACTATAAATTTATGGGTGTTGATACAAAATATATATGTAAACATTTAAAATATTTATGATAATTTATGTAATGATAATAAATATATGATAACCTATAATTTTGGTAATTTCATAACATATTTAATATATTTAACCTTCGATTAATATATGTATGATAATAATTTTGTATATACATAATTACACATTATATATAACAAATTAATCACACATATGTATTGATCATTTATTATAATAGACCTTTATTCTACTATGAATTTATATGTATTGATCATTTATTATAATAGACCTTTATTCTACTATGAATTTATGGGTGTTGATACAAAATATATATGTAAACATTTAAAATATTTATGATAATTTATGTAATGATAATAAATATATGATAATCTATAATTTCGGTAATTTCATAACATATTAAACATATTTAATTTATGATTAATATATGTATGATAATAATTTTGTATATAAATAATTACACATTATATATATACCCAATTTCACATTTTCTCTTACCCAGCCCAGCTCAGCCCAAATTTTAAAACAAAATTCCAAAGCCCATATGATAATAAATATATTTTTTATTCGAACAGGTATTCGGACGAGTTATTCAAACACGTATTTACAAGTTATCAAACGAGTTATTCGAACAGATATTTATAAATCATCGAACGAGTTAATCGAACAGGTATTTACAAGTTAGTCGAATGAAAACGAACTGATATTTTGTTAATCGAACGAACACGAAAAGTCATCCTGTGTTCGTTCGAGTTCAAACATGAAATCGAACAATCAAACATACTTATCAAACAAGTTTCGAACGGGGCTGTTCGTTCGTGTTCGGTTTGAATTGCAGGCCTAGGTGAACTTCACTAAGAAATGTGCACCGGTGGTGGCAATCGGAAGATGGTGGCCTAGAGATGGAGGAGGGTGGCCGACAATGGGTGAACTTCACTAGAAAAGTTGCGCCAGCGATGGTTAAAAGGATGGTGGGCTCGGGTTGGATGAGGAAACCGAGATGGTGGCGAATCTCCAATTCTGGGCACCAATGGTGGCGCTCGAAACTGGTGGCCTGGGGTTGGAGCAGGGGGCCCAAGGTGGTCCGAAGAACTTGAAAATGGTAGCCGGTGATAGTGGTCGAACCTGTTGGCCTCGGTTTGTCGGAGGAAACCGAAAGATGGTGGTATTTCTTGAGTCTTAAGCAGCAGAAGAAGGTGTTTTTGGGTGGTGTTTTTGAATGCAGGTGGAAGAGGGTGTTATGGTGGTTGTAACGTGAAAGAGGGTGGCGGTGCGTTTGTAATTTTTGAAGAAGAAATGTGGAAGAGGGTGGCGGTAGTTCTGATTTTTGAAGAAGAAGGTGGAAGTGATATATGAAGGTGGAACCGTCGAAGCCAAACTGAAGAAGAAGGAGAAAGAAGAAGAAAGAAGGAAAACAAAAAAAGTGAATTGTGGCGTTGGCTCTGATCTTTGAAGAAGAAGGTGGAAATGATATATGAAGGTGGAACCGTGGAAGCCAAACTGAAGAAGAAGGAGAAGAAAGAAGAAAGAAGGAAAAAAAAAAAAATCAAAAGTAAACTGCAGCGCCGCCTGCATAATCAGAAGTCAGGAATCAAATTTTTATTCCCTAATAATGAGCCAAACACATATTTAAGAAATCTGATTCCAAAAGTTAAATATGATAACGAAAGAAACGTACCCGATCCATATTCCCATTATCTTATTATGAAAATGAAACTTACTCATTGATATCATCAATGTAATTGAGTTAAACTCTCATCTCATCTTGAAAAGTTGATAAGACGCATGGCTAGGTTCACAGTATTTAATATTGTAAAAAATTCTCATTTATCAAACTCTAATTTATTTAAATAGATTAAACACCAATTAACAAATTACACGTGTAATAAACGTGTTAATGTCGATTCATATTACTAATAGAGTAAACATATGATCTCACCCAAAGGTTAGTGGAATGACAAGTTTTCACCTATTTTAACATAACTGTAGAGGATATTATTACTATATTACCATTCACTTTTGATTTCACCACCATCCAACCACCACCACCATCTTTCAACACCATGACCAAAACCCCAAAGTCACCACCACCGCCATCATCGCTATCCCTCTAAACCTCAAAGTCACCCTGTCGCCACCAAACAACCACCACAAATCATTCAAATTCAACCACAGACCCACCCTAAAACCGTCACAAACTCAGCTACAAACCCATCCAAAAACAACCACAAACCCATTGGAACATTCCTCCTGCTTTTTAATTTGCTTGCATTTGATCGTCAGAGCCCCACTTTCATTATATTTCATGCAACCCAGATTATTAATTATACCACCTAATTGATTAAACAAAGAAAAATGAAAAAGCTAAGTGATGAAATTGCAACTGTGGGTTGGGGGTAACAACAATCATGGTCTATAGTAGGTTTCTAGGGTACGATGACGACGACTTGCGATGGGTTTCTAAGGAGCGACAACAGTCTAGGGGGTGAGGTACGCTAGTGATTTGGGGAAGATGGGTGGTGGCCTCAACGTGATGGTCTTACAACAACCAAATCAAGTTGCCTCGGAGCCTGTTCCGAGAAGGGAGAAGAGGGAAGAAGAAAGAAAATAGGAAAATAGGAGAAGAAGAATCGGTAGAAGAAAAAGAAGAGGCGGCGTTGGTAGGAGGAAGAGGCGGCATTGGTAGGAGGAAGAGATGAGGGAAATAAAAGAAGTAGAATGGGTTGAGGAGTGGGGTGGGACGACGGTTGGGTTCAATGACCATTTTATTCTTTTACTGTCATATTAAATAATTGTCTGTTAATTTAAGGGTGGGAATCTATAATAAATGAAACGAAGGGGTGGAAACTTGCCATTTCATTAATCTTTAGTGGGAACATGTCGTTTACTCTTACTAATATAATTTGTTTATCAAAGGAGCACAAAATGTATTCAAATTAACACAATTAATTAAGCAATATGTTACATGCATATGCATTCACGAGCAATTAAACCATAGAAAACTAAATAAATTTTTTTTTTAAAAAATTCGGTTTTGCTAGAACAATTGTTGATTATAAGATTTGTTTTAAAGGATTTAATTAATTCAAAAAATTCGGTTAATTATAAACTTAATATTTGTTGTTGGTATGCCAGTTAAATTAATGTTTTTAAGATTGGATCATCCATTTAGTGCCTGTTTGATTGAGTTATGAAAATTAGTTTATAAACAGTTGGTGTTTATAAGGTAATTTGAACTTATGTGCATTTGAAATTTAAATAGTCATGTGTTTGGTTAAAGTACTTATAAGTGATTGACAAGTGACATTCGGTAAAATATGACTTACACATACATTTTAATATTAAAATAACAAAAAATGGTACTACATTATTTTATCAAATAATAAATTATATTAACTCAATTTTTTTTATTATAATATTATCAAAATATATATTTCAATCATATTACAATATAATTTAATTTTAAAATTAAATAAACAAATATTTTATTAAAAATTTATGTGAATAATTTTTAGATTCTTTATACAAAATAGACTAATAAACAAATATAGTGAATTATAATTATGAGTTGTTTAAAATATAAAAATAATGTTATATGATAGAATTTAAAAATTAAATAAGGGTATTGTGGTAATATATTTTGTCAAAATAGCTTATTATGAACATAATGCTTATAAGCAAAAAAAATAAGGTTCCCCAACTTATTTTTTTGGCTTATAAACCCAAAAAAATTATAAAGAAACAAATCAATTTAATTTTAGAACTTATAAGCTGTACTATCTTAGTAATAAATTTTAAAAAATATTTGTACCAACGTAAACCATTGGAGCCAAATTTGATGTGTGAACAAAAACCAAGAAAGGAATTATATGCTGCATTAGGGAAAGAAAATCACTACAATAAAAATTTAAGCTTACTTAACCCCCACCCAAAAAAATAATAAAATCAAATAAAATAAAATTAAGCTTAATGTTATATTGTTATTCTACTTCAACTCTTCAAACTAAACCATTGGAGCTACAAAAACCAGAACTCATCATCGATCAATTTTGAAAATCGGATGAAATTTACAATTCTCAAACATAGTAACACAGTTATATGTTACAGTTAATAATAAATTTGAATATGCAAAAGTTTAATATATCTCAAAGAGGGGAATTGTAAACTTAGGAGCCTTGATAGAATTCTTCACCATTCCCCGGCTGCTATGCTATGTGATCATAATCGACCTTAATGGGGTTGGTGACATTCTCATGGCACCATGTGATCATGATGCATGTGGCTGTCATCTCTTTCCGCCATCATAGACAACGCTGGGTGTATCTCTGGGCAAGGGAATAACAACTTCAGTCGAAAAGCATCAACACCGTTCAAATAGTAGCGGAACAACCGTTTTGCCCTAATAAACCCAAGACGTCCATATAGTGCAAGTGCTCCTTTATTTGTGACTTCTGCTTCCAACGTTACCTAAGGAAAATATTGTTCAAGATCATGAGCTAAGAGCATCTCCAATGGTGCTTTTTATTTTAAAGAGCATCTTTTATATAAATAAATAGTATTTTCATTATTTCTAAATATAAAAAACAAAATTTTTATTTAAATCCAATGAACTCTTTAAATTTAACGAAGATACTCATTATTTTCAAGAAAGAGACTTAACAGGAGAGGAAATTAATAAATAAAATGCATAACAACTTGTAGTTTATTAATTAAAATTATGATAGACAGTGAAATTTGACTATCTAGATGTGGAGAGTCAAACTCAATTTTTAATTTATATTTAAAGGATAAAGGGTCTGTTGGACTATTATTTTTATGGATAGACTCTTTATAATAAAGAGTTTGGGTCATATAAAGAGTCCATTGGAGATGCTCTAACATTTTGTCCTATTTCTTTGACTACCCAACATGTATAAAAACTTGATAATACAGATCAGATTAAAAAAATGCGATAATGATCCAATTCAGCAAAGCCAAAACGAAATAAGAATTGATACGAAAATGTATCATAATGTTGCCAGCCTACATTCTTCATATCTAGCCTTCCTAATACTCTTTTCAGTGGACCTATGAAGTAACTGGAAAATGGCAATAAACTTACCATCCAGCTCTTAGATCTCCTTTAGTGATAATATTTCCTGAAACCCAGGTAAGTTCTAAATGTGGATGGGATCTAAAATAAGGTCATTGTTCAGGTCAGGAGACACCATTAAATCTTGACTAAGTAAACATGATATGACTACAGATATTGAATTATTAAATTAATGAGCAATTAAGTGGAATTTTGGTGTTACTGAAATGTAGGATCAGAGCGAAGTTTATATTCTGCTCAGGTCTATCTTAGGGACCTCCACTACCACTAGGCTAAAGAACACAAGGACCTCTGTTGTCGAAATTCGACAAAAAGCCTCTCTTGAACTATTGAAATTAGTCAACTCCCTTTGAAATTTGTTAAACCTCCTTTGCTTCAGTATGCCTGGTAAGTAGGCAGTGCCACAGGTGAGATCAATGAAATTTAATCTTGTACGTTTTGCAACAACAGAATTTTCTATAGGATATGTCAATATAGTGAAAGAAAGATGTAAGTTACAAGGACATTGTGCTAACTCTTCTCCTAAATTTTGCCAAAGAAAAAATTTCCAATAGAACTCAACCTAGCCATTTCCAAACAAAAAAGAAGTCAACCTCAATTGACATCAAGACCTGCCTTACACTTGTTTAGCCAGCAGACTATCAGTCACCAGATGAGAAACCACACAATTGTTGATAATTAACAGAAACACTAGCTGTTGCATAAACTAAGCAGTAACGGGTTATTTGTAAACATAGACGAGTTACTGGGATAGATATGAACAGAGATAACAGATAATACATAAATCCAAGTGACCAATTTGTTCATGTCTAACAGAATGCAGAAAAGGGTACAGAACGAAGATTGGTGCTCTGAGTCTGGGTATCTCTGCTTCTTATCAAAATACAGTTATAGAACAAAGAAAATTTGTCCAGAAATACCAACCAAATTCAAGGAAAACAACAATACAGCCATAAAAAAGCTATGTTTAAAAAGTCAAGATGAAAAACATAAAAGCTACAATGTTCAACACATGTCCTATTAGCTTGGACTTCTCTTGCAATTTTATCCTTTCCTAATCCGGTCATCCACGATAAAAAACTAGGAACAAATGTTATAAAATACTTTTTTTTTTTTTTTTTTTCTATTTCTTAAAATGCTGGAAAGAAAAAATTGTCTTCATTTGCCATATTCACTAAACATCATATTACCCTCAAATTTTGGGAACAAGAAGTCTTGAACCCGTATAAGCCTTAGAATGGCATTCATTCACATTAAGATATAATGGTGGTGACAAAACAAGAAAACAGAAAAAACTCAGTGTCAATTATACAGGTTATACCAATATGCAATTGACATGAAACTGAGTACAAAACCACAAGCACAACATCATAATGCTCACATACCTCTTCACAGCCAGCTTCCATCATCACCTTAATCGATCTAGTAACGAGTTCAGTCGCTACAATTCAAGAAGAAACACAAATTTCAACACCAATCGTTATAAAATGTAAACTCATGCAATGTAATGCATACATGTTACACATCCAGTTAATATTCTCAAATTTCAACCTCTCCAAAATCTAACAACGTAAGGACCAAAAACACATAAAAGAAAAGCAAATTAACAAACACTTTATGCTCATTAATGCCAAACTCAAAATATAAAAAAGAAAGGCTTATTAGAAAGAAAAAAATTACCAATGCCTCTTCCACGATAAGGTTTAATAACAACCAACATAGCAATGTAACCTCTATAAGTAGCTCGATGTTCTCCCATCTTACACACAACTGTGCCCACACATTTACCTTTGTGAAACGCCTATGAAGAAACACGAAAGAAACCAATTAAACTATTGGTTAGAATAAAAATAAAACTTAAAGAAATAATAAAGAAGAAATTGGGTTACCAAGAAAGAAAGATGGGGCCAGAGATAGACGAAGTAGCGGTAAGTGAAGATAGAGTAGGGTTCACTAAGTTCTTGATCGACGAGGTTCATGATCAACGGCAGGTGATGTTCTCCAGCGTAGCTTACGTACTCTATCTCCGACGAGTCGAACTCTTCTTTGTTCGTTGATTCCGGTTGTTGTTCGGATTCCATCTTTCAGTAGATTCAAGCAGGGGAACTTCACTTCTATGTCGTCTTTGTTTTTGGGCTTCAATTCAATTGGCCCGAAGAAGTTAACGCCAAAGTAGTCAAAACAGACCGAAATACACAAACTTAACCGTTAAACGAACGTTAATTAACGAAATTCGAATTAAATAAAAAAAAAAAAAAAAGGAAAATTTCCAAGAATACTTATAGGGTGCGTTTGGTTTAGTATTTTGGATAGGATTTTGGGGATAGTATTGGGTTATTGGATAGGAAAATATTACGAGATAAATTTTAAAAATTTATGAAAAAGCCCTTAGGTTTACTAATTTAATTAAAGACTCTTAACATATAAAATGACAAAAACACCCCCACCACCTGCAGTGCCAGATTCCAGCCACCACCGCCGGAATCTGGCCAGAAAATTTTGTTACGACACAAACCGGTCGGATCTGTGCCGTAACACATCGTTATGGCATTTTCTGGCCGAAAAAGGCCAAACGACGGCCATCTTTGGCCGTCAGTGACGGCCAAAGATGTGGCCATCGTTTTCGGTCAACGACGGCCAAGATTTGGCCGTCGTCGACCGTCAATGACGGCCAGATCCATGGTGGATCTAGCCGGAAAATGCCACATCGGTGAACTTCCGGCCATTTCTGGTAGGAAGTTAGGCCGTTGTACAGATTCCGGCTATCACCGATGGTGGTTGCCGGAATCTGACAAGTTGGGTTGATGGGGGTGTTTTTGTTAATTTTTAAACTTTTTTTAGGGGGTATTTAGTGAAATTGATAACCTTATGGGGTTTAAAAGTAATTAAAAAAATAGAGTAATATTTATGGAATAATGTGCCAAACATTATTTGGAGAATAGGATCCAAAATATGGATAAAAATACTAAGCCAAACATGCAGATATGGGTGCGTTTGGTTTATTATTTTGGATAGGATTTTGAGAATAATATTGGATAGTTGAGTAGAGTTATGATTACGAGAATAGGATTTGAAGAATATGAGTTTGATAGAGTATTTTTACTTTGATATTTGTGTTGAATATTTGATAGATATATTTTTTTATAAATGATTTATTAATATAATATTTTGGTGCATTTTGTTAAAATAATGTAATATTATATATATAACTTATCAATTTACATTTTAATAATATTAAACATTTTATTGGTAATTTTTCACCAGTAACTATTAAAAAACAAAAACCCATATTAATTTCAAGTATTAATCCAACTGTTTAAAAACATCACATTAATACATATATGACAAAAGTATTAATTATCAACCCTTACAATCATTCTTACACGTATACTTCATTAACAACTATGACATGGTCCACTGTGCTGCCCACAGTGCATTCGTTATGTTATCTCATACAGTCGTCATATTGTCTATAATACCTTGTTGCGGTTGATTCCATCCTTCTCCATTTTGGCCATATTCTGCCCCGTTTTGACGATCACAATATACTTGCTCATTACCCATACTATTATTGGTTTGTTCGAAGATACGGTCGTCCATATTGTACATTCTGATAAAATTATGAAGTACACAACATGTCATAACAATCTTCCCTTGTTTGTCCAACGGGTAATTGTTCATTCCATTTAGAATACGGAACCGTCTTTTCAAAACACCAAAGGTTCTCTCGACAACATTGCGGAGTGAAGCATGTCTGCAGTTAAACAACTCTTGTGGCCCCCTTCGATAACAGCAGTGATCAGAAATATGGTAAGCCATTCGCCTATGAGGGGCGAGGAACCCATCTCTATTTAGATAACCCGCATCAACCAAATAGTATTTCCCTGTAATAATATCAGACATTTTATTTGAATTACAGGGCCTCAACAGTGGAGCAAATACGCTATAATATGTCAAGAAAATACTTATACCTGGTGGAGGATGTGGGAATCCAGAATTAGGATCATAAAGAATTGAATTTAAAGCTCTTGAATCATGCGTAGATCCTTCCCATCCAGTAACGACACAAGCGAATATCGTCCTAAAGTCGCATACAACCATTACATTTTGTGACAACGTTCCTTTGCGATTCCGATACCTATCGGCAAATTCATGTGAAACTGAAGCGTATACATGTGTGCCATCAATAGCTCCAATACAGTCCTATCATAAAAATTGAATTTTACACATATTAACCGACTATCAAAATTAATAACACAATGAACTTAACTATCCACTAATAGAAAACATAATGAACCAGTACTTTAAAGAAAGGGTAATATTTTCTGTTGGCTGATATTTCCCATGGAACATCATTGAAGTCAAGTGGTCTGATAAACTCTGTCTTCAACTCACATAAAGCCTCGCAAACTGCACCAACATGTCTAGAGATCGTCTCACCCGAATGTTGGAAATCCTCCATCATCGTTTTGATTGTCTCGTTTTTTCCAATGATTGTTAGAAATATCATAACTTGTTCTTCCAAATTCGTCTTCCTGGTTGGTCGCAATTTGCCTTGATCGGACAAAATTTCACATAAGTATGTAAAACAGTCTTTGTCCATGCGGCACGTGTCATAGATCCTGTCAGGGTGACCATTAAGTACTTCCAACATGTACTCATGACCAGTTAATACGGATGTATTTCGTAGTTGATGCCCAGTTGCTTCTAACGGGGTAACACCACAGAGTGCAATGGCTATATCTGTCAGTATTTCTTCTTCGTCATCTGTAGCACGCCGTCTTCTTCCTGTACGGCTAGACAACACCATTTAAACCTGCACATTTGCAAACATTGATCAACAATTAACAGTTTTTGTACTACTTAGCAAAATATAATAGTCAATATTTAATTATAATGACAATCCAAAACGAGGTTGAAACATGTAATATCACATAAAACAATACCACGATTAATAAGTTCATACAGTAGCGTTATAAATTCTAATTGTAATGACAAGTGCCCACTGACGCATACAAAATTGTTGGCAAACACTTAGGAAATATAGTGTCATCTACAAGTTGGGAAAGTCGTTATAAATCCAGTTAGCCTTTTCCTCGGGCGGGAGTTTCAACAATATCTCCCGTCACCCTGGATTTTGATATACGTACTTGACAACTGGCAGGTAAAACTGTGTGGGTACTTGCATGGCCGTCATGATGTCAATACAATTGCTCATGGAAAAAGGATCAGATGGAGCAGTAGTGTTCTCTTCGTCCCTCTCATTTGCACTGCGATTGCCAGCCCTCGATCTCATAGTCCGCCTCTCCACAAGCTCGTTTGTCAATCTACCAATGACATCTGCAAATGATTGTCCCAGGCCGCTTCTGTTCCTCCTATTTCTCACTCTTCCATGGCTAAATGTGTTTGGCCGTTTTTCTCCTGTCGTCCGATCTGGATCAGGTTCAAAGTCGCTATCATCCATGAGAACCGCACCCTGATTGGAATAAGTGGAGGTCTCTACTGGTTGAGATGCAGATGTGTACGCATATCTCCCAGTGGCAGTTTGCTTCTCAAATATGATTTCATAAAGCTCCTTGTGAGGAAGTCCCTTGTGGTAAAATTGTTGCGCTAGTGGGTTTTGTTGGTAAGTTAAAGGAATAATATATTAATATTTGGCAGTCCGAAAAAAAAATGCGTACAATTACAGTGTCGTTGATTAATATTAGTTAAAAAAAATGAAAATTTACCTTGACATATTCTTGCCAAACCTCTACAGGACACGTTGGACTTTGCGACTCATGATCCCACCCAAACCCCATGTGTTGCAGCAATTTCCACCATGCTTGATATGCTCTTCGCAGGCGAAAGAACTTAGAGGTTAATTGTGTGACGTTGAGTCTCCTGCCAACCATTGATGATATGTCGTCCAACATTTCCTGGTAATCTGCTATTTTTATTGCAGTATCGTGCGCTCAGATAACAGGACCAGAAATTTGTGGGTCATCTCAACGGACCAGGCCACAGAATCACTCATCTAAGGACAATACGGTGAGAGACAACCAACATTGGGACACCATATGAATCACCAATCACATTACAAAATATAATATTCACATGTTAACGTAACCAAGTAAACATAGATAAAATTATACCTCGTTCGATCCAGTAATGCTTGAAGACGTCAATGCAAGAGAAGATACAGACAATGTTGACCAACAGGGTGCATGACGAACTCCAAGTCTGGAAAAACGTCGAAGCTTTCGCCTTTGTTGCAAGTAGTAATCAATCCTGCGACGTCGAGACAAATTATACTGACATATGTGCATATGAGCGTAATTTGTTGTTACGATTAAAGAACAATGTCGAATCTATAGAACAAATATATCAGTTAGTGAAATCCGAATAAAATATTTTTAATAATCCAATAATTTTTTACTCCCAAAATTTATCCATTACATACAACATGTTACATACAGAACATATGAAACTGCACAATATTTTGACGCATGTGCTAAACATTGTAAGCAACATAGCACATGTTGTAACCATTAAACCCCACAAACAAATCCACATATCCAAGTAGCTCATGTGCAAATATTAGTTTCAGTCAACCAATTACAAAACACATTATTAAAGTCCAAATTAAAAGGATTAATGAAAAGAAAAAAACAGTACTAACACAAATGATTTCCAATAAAATTAAAAAAAAAAAAAATTGCGTCTCGGTGTCGTGAAAACAAATAGGTAACATAAGCTCAAAAACTAGATTTGGGTACTTCGCGGGTCTCTTTCTCTTCCCTGAGACAAATAAACATCAAACACAATTAAAAGGATTCATGTGTATACACGATGTTAAAAACTTTCCAAACAAAACAAAAACTTAGCAAAACACCTTTCCCTGTGGACAGATTTGCGACAAATCTGAGGTGGGTTTGTGACAGATCTGTGGGTTCACGATGGTGGATTTGTGATAGATCTATGGTGGGTTCACGGTGGTGGGTCTGTGTAGATTTGAGATGGGTTCACGGTGGATTAACGGTGGTGGGTTTGTGACAGATCTGTGGTGGGTTCACGTTGGATTCACGGTGGTGGGTTTGTGACAGATCTAAGGTGGGTTCACGGTGGTGGGTTTGTGAAAGATCTGAGGTGGGTTCACAGTGGTGGGTTTACGATGGTGGGTTTGTGACAGATCTATCTGTGGTGGGTTCACGGTGGTGGGTTTGTGACAAATATGTGGGTTCACGGTGATGGGTTTGTGACGATCGACTCCGGTCACGTTTGTGTTGTGATGATGGCGGTAGATTGATTGGGTGATGCTGTGGGGTGGTTTTCTGATTTAGGTGGCTGGTCGGAATTCTAATGTGCTTTGTTTTGTATTTGCAGGTGGAAGATTATGTTGGAGAAGAAAGATGGTTTGTGACGATGGTGAAGCTACGAAGGTGGTAATGCAAAGTGAGAAAGTGACAGTGGTGAAACACTGAAGCTGGTAATGCAAACTGAGAAAGTGAAATGGTGAAGCACTGAAGCTGGTAATGGATACTGAGAAAGTGAAATAGTGAAGCAGTGAAGAAAAGTGAGACTGTGAAATAAAAGCAGGACTGCAAACTGTAACAGTCAAAAAATTGTCAAGATAGTTGTCAGGATTTTATTTTCATGACAGTATTGTGTAAATATTGAACCAAACGCTATCTGTAAAATCTGGTTAAGAATATGGGTAAAAATATTGTAGCAAACGCACCCTATAATTTTCTCAAAGTTTTAAAAGTGTCGTATATTTAATAAATAATGTTTTACTTACGATTGAGTCATACAAATAGACAAAAATTGCATAAAATTTATGTAAAATTATTATTCTATCATTTGTTTTTTGTCTGTTTATATGATTCAGTTGTAAGCATAACATTACTCATATTTAATTTAATTTATTAGAATAATTGACCTTGACCAAAACTAGTAAATTTACATTAAAGTGGTTGGTTTCAATAAATTTAATTGAATTTCAACTACATAACAATTATATTATTACATTTAAATAAATTAAAAAAAAAAAAAAAGAGGATTCTACCAGGTATCAATTAGATAAATTCAACTATGAGAAAACTATCAAAAGTTCAAAGTATTTCAGTTGATGTTGCAATCTTTTAATATAAATTCAAGAGACATTTTTCATACCAAAATAATTGCATTCTATTAATTAATTGATTGTTCACCATACTGACGAATGACAAATGCACGTTCAATTATTCAATGCACTTGTCCATGATAAGTTCCAACTAAATTTTTATAGTAATATAAAATCATATTGTAATCTAAATATCTATTAATTATATATATATATATTTTAAAATATATTATATTAGGCCGTACATCTTTGAATGTGTATTTTCAATGTATAAACTATAGGTGAATGAATTTATTTTATTTTTGAATTATAGTTAATTATTAAAACAGCTCAATTACTCGTATGGGAATCACACCTTATTATTTGTTCATCATTTTTAAATATAGTCAACAATTAAGAAATTCTTTTTCTCCAATAAAAAACTTTGTCTTTGCATTTTTATAATATATCAATTACAATATTAAAACATATATTAATGAAAATTTTACATAAAATTTATATAATTTAAAAAAATAAAAAATAAAAAAAACATTACACCAACCCCATGCTTGGAAGCCAAACATTTTGAGGTTAAACTGTAATTTTCCAAAACTCCTAACAGCCACTATAAACAAAGCAACCTTTCAAAATGCATTTCACATGCTTAATTTTATAATGAAATGACATCCATGCTTCTATACCACCACGTGTAAGGTCAAAAATTGCTAGTCAATCTTTATCCATTGCGTTGTTAAACACCAAATCATTTCTCCGGAAATAAATTTTGTGAACATATGACTTTATTATATATGTGTGTGTGACAAAATATATATATACATAAAACCTGACTTTAACGTGCAGCAATTAACGCCCTACAAGCAACCCCATTTGTTTCTCTCTTCTTCTTAGTACTTCTTCAACTTCTCTTTTTCTTCTTTAAGATCACCACCGTATCTTTCTTTTTTGGCTTTGCTCATACTTTACTACCATCAATAAGGATTCAAGATCGTAACCTAGATCTTACTTTTTATGTATCCACATCGTTAATTTATAAAATAGATTAAGCTGGAGATTATTATTATTTATTCTTTCTTTATATGTGTCTGAGGACGACAAGATTAAGAAACTGATTCAAAACGAACTGAGAAAGCTAGCTAGACTTAGCTAGTTAGAGGTTGACAAAGTGGATCGGAAACATGGCAAGAGGCCTCTTCCTTTTGATGTATCGGAGGAGAAAAAGGAAGATGAAATATTCTCTGTGTACCAATCGATGACGAGTACTGATCAGCCGGCCGATCATGTTAGTTATGATGCTAACACACCAGCAAATGTCATCGCTGCCTTCAGCGATCAGTACGGCTGGCCGGCGCATGGCCAAGCGAATCCACAGTTGATGATCAGCTCGACGGAACTTCACACATCTCAACCTGCGCACGATCAAGGTAAGCTATTAGGTGATCGATCACTAGCTATATATTATATACTATTTAAATGAACTACTTAATTTTGTGTTTTGTATTTTTTGTATAACAACTGTAGTCATTTTAGTTAACTTTTTTGGGATATTAATTGTTTAAATTTTTTTCTGTGATAATATTTATAGTTTCCTTTTTATAAAAGAAATTAAGATGATGAGTAGTGTCTGAGCGCAGTGTCAATATTCATTGCGCCATTTGTATATCTCACCGCATGTTTATGCAGATTTAAGGGATTAATTAACTTTATATAAATGCGAGAAAGTACATTTCTTCTATATTTATAAGTTCCAAAAAATAAATAAAGATATGAATTGATCCGGTGTAACCATGGAACTGTTCTTAGTTATAATGTGATATCTTTCAGTCAGTAGGCCATTTTTTCTTTTGAAATGCAAAAATAAGGATACCATATTGATCTAAAGTTGTATACGAATTTTCTTATTATTCCATCTATTCACATGTTTTTCTCTAAATCAACCTTGTTTGCAACCTTCCACAATGTATAACATCGAATTGTCAATGGTTTTGATAACTCCATTGTGCTCTTTTCATTCCATTTGCTTCTATTTAATTAGTTGCCTTACTAGATTAGCCTTTTGATCACCGAACCATGATCTCTTAGTTAAATGGTAGGACACTGATGATCAAACATGAATTTTCTTGAAGGAGACAATACAAGAAGAAGACACTACAGAGGGGTGAGACAAAGACCATGGGGGAAGTGGGCAGCTGAGATCCGTGATCCGAAGAAGGCAGCCAGAGTCTGGCTTGGAACATTCGACACGGCAGAGGCTGCAGCCCTTGCTTATGATGCAGCGGCTCTAAAGTTCAAAGGCAGCAAAGCTAAGCTCAATTTCCCTGAACGTGTTCAAGGAGTACATGACTTGAGCTACCTAATGAGTACTACTACTTCCAGTAACTCAGGCACAGTTTCTGAATATGTTCCTACCCCAATACCTTTATTTCCACAACCACCAATACCTTCTCCTATTCCAACTCCTTTATCACATGAAGCATTTCCTAATCTTTTCCAGTACGCACAGCTGCTTTCCAGTAATGATGATAGGGATGTTCAGTATGCTACCTCGAGTCTTTATAACAATCAAAACCAGCTTCCATTTTATGGTTCATCACAATCTACATCCATGTTATTTTCATCACCAACTTCTTCCGCAATGTCTCATAATTATTATGATCAACTGGCCATGGAAGAAGAGTTACTGAGGGGGAGCTTTCCTTCTGCTTCCAATTTTCTTGAGCAGGCTGGGAGGAATATTAATGCTCCTGATAATAGCCAGAAGAACTGAAAGTCAAGGTCAAGTACGTACACATTATACAGGTTTTCATGCAATGGGAGAGTGAAAACCTGACGGCCAGTTTTTGCCTTTTGGTTAACCCTTTTGGATAAACCATTCTTAATTAATTCTCCGTTAATTAAAGATGTATGAAATAGAAGAAAGATTTATTTCAATTTGCTTGAAAATGCATCTGAATTTTATTTTCATGAAGCATGCGGTTTTTTTTTTTTTTTTTTTTTTAAGGATCGGGAGTGTTTAGATTAGTTTGCGCACACTTCAACTAATCCTTCAGGACCCTATAACTACTAGTCGGATAAGAGTTCTAATGACCACACCCTTATTAGGGGTTGAGGTAAATCAAATTTATGATCTTTTGAATAATATACTCAGGAGTTCTAATTGATCGTTGGACTAGCTAATGGTGGTTTGAAGCATGCAGTTCTCTTCATAATTCTTTCACTAGTGACTTATATGTCGCTACTGTAATTCTGCATATACAGCGGTACTTCTGCCGTGAAGATTGCAATTGCAGATGGCCATTTATTTGTTTTTGGATTAATTTATTTGAAGATTTTGTCATGTTTGAAGATCTTGTAAGCAGTGACATCATAGTGAGTTGAATATTCAAAATATAATCGATTATATGGATGTGAAGTCTACTAAAATCCATTCTCACGATCTCATCCAACGGCAACTACTGAATGAAACTGGCCATTTGAATTGCATTAAAATGCGATAGTAAACTGGTAGCACGCTCCATTATGAATTCAACATGATTTTTATCAAACCTTCCGTCCAGATATATTAAATACGGAGTCAAAACTTATTTGAATAAAACTTTCCAAGCTTTTTATCTTAATTTGACTATCCATCGATCTTCATACTGTATTTCTAACTAAACCCACTCGTTGAAACTACCCTACATCAGATTGGATGCATAATGATTAATTTACTTGGTCTATCAAAAATATATAAAAATAGTAGTAAGTGATCTAACAGTAGAAGAGCAAAAAAAAGTTTTATGGGTTTTTGAATTTGAGTCCTCTCGAACATTAATAAGGATAATCGTTAAAGTTTCTACCTAATTAACAGTTTCAGGATTTTAACGGATTAAATGAGGCATGCAAAAACGGATCCGGACACACTCACAAATACAACTTACTAATGCCAGAGTCATTCACCAACAATTCATACTGTGAAAAGTAAGTCTATCGAGTAAATAAATCACATCAACGCCGAAAAGAGAGAACGCTAGTGGGTGGCAAAAGGCAGAATAATATGTAAAAGAAGCTTCTAAACACATTTGTTGGAACTTGATACAAGTTGCCATTTATAGCTTTAATTGTTCGATCGTGTTCGTGTGCAAAGCAAAAGGACACATGACAACTAGCATATTATATGGAAGATCAGATGCATCTCCCTTTGCAAGCGTGGGACGAATAACATGAGCACAATATATTATATATGTTTTAATCAATCAAATCAATGCATATTTTTCCGGCTACAAAAGGGACCTAACAAGTCCTCAGTTACCACTTTGTTCAAAGCAAATTTGTGCTTTCGGCTACCTTCTGCGTCCGAACATGTCAATTTTTGCGGCTAATGTCGATATGCATTCTTGTCTTGTATTGGACTCATTCTTGTTACAATGAACCAAGTAAACTGATTTTATGGGAAAAAGTTTCTGTGATTATATCACCAAGCAAAGAATAAGCAAAAAAGGACAAACTTAAAAGAAGTTCCAAGTCGCGACAATTAGTTCATAACAATATTTGGATGAATGGTATTCTTTATTTTTAAAGATTATATTGTATCTTTATCATTTTTTTTAAATATAAAGAATAAATTTTTTATTCAAATCCAATAGGCTTCTTAAAATTTAGAAGAGATATTATATTTTTTCAATAAATAAATTTAATAAGAGAGATAAATAATAAATAAAATACATAAAAACTATATATTTATTATTTAAAATCAGTATAGAGGATGAAATTTATTTAAAAAATAAAGAGTCTGTTGAACTCTTATTTTTATGGATAAACTCTTTATAATAAACAGTTTGAGTTATATAAAGAGTCATTTGGAGATATTCTAACATTACATTTTAAATGTGGCTTTTTGTCTTCATGTCCCTATAGCTATAAAGTTTAAAACATTTTAACCCTTTGGATGTATTTGGTTGGGAGTAATAAGACATTATTGAGGTAATATCATCCTATATTATTTCATTACCACGTTTGGTTGTCAAGTAATATAAGATTCCGGTAATCTTCTAAAACTAATAATAATTACTATTAGTAATATATGAGATAACGTGATTACCTCTATTTTTTTAGGTATTTTAATATTACTTAGTAATTTTAATTTTGTTATAATTTTACCCTTTATTAATAAATTTTTTGGACAAAAATACCCTCATTTTGAAATTATTTTACAAATATATTCATAGGCTATTTTATCCTTATATACAATTTTTTTAGGATATAAATACCCTTGAACTTTAAAAAAATTATCCAACGGTGGTGGCCGGATCTGGAAACCATTGCTAGGCATTGGCAACGACGAAATGGCGCACGACCAACTAGATCTGGTTGACCGTGCGTCGATAAGGCCGTTTTCGACCATGGATAACAGCCAGATCTGGCCATGAAACGATCGTTATTTTACAGCCAGATCTCCATTATCGGTGTCGTCGGCGGTGGTAGCAAGCCGCCAGCAATGGCTTGGGGTGAGTGGAGGTGTTTTTGTTAAGTTTTAAACTTTTTTTGTTATTGAAATGTTTTAGCTAAATCTTAAATGTACTGGGTTAAAAGAAGTTATTCAAAAAATAATATTATATTAATATTTAAAAATGAGGGCAATTTAGTAATTTATACAACATAGCCACTAATTTGTTCCTCCCAACTAAATATATTAATATAACATACCCAACAATTTATTCCCACCAACTAAACACATTTTCCTAAACATTTACAGTGATCTTCAAGGTAATTTATTTTTCTATTAATATAACATTCCCTGAATCAAACACACGCGAGTAACGAGATTTTCCGTTTTTGTCTTGGTTTCTAAAACACACAAAGATTGATTACGTCTAATTCTCAAATCCAAATATTGGTTTGAGTTTTGCTTAGAGATTTAATTGAATTTAATTAATTGCTAGTTGGAAATAGAGCCGGTGATGGGTTATGTCGTGCCTAAAAATGTAAGGTATGTCATGTCGTGGGTCATGCCAAGATCTGCGAAAATTCGCGCCCTGTCGTGCTGTGCCAATCCACCAAATTTGAAGGCCCACAACACTGCCCACTATATATCGTGTCGTGCTGTGGGCCGACCGGTGTGCTTTATAAAAAAAATGAATTTCAATATTTATAAATTGTGGTAATTTTGATTTATTATTAATAATTATTATGAAAATAATTTATATATTATATTTAGTGACATTTTGTATTTATATTAATTAAAAAAATAGATAATCACTATGAAATATAATAAAATGACGAGACATTGAAATATTAATTGAATTTTAACACTTTTTATTACTTGTAAGTTATAATTATAAATTACAAATACAAACTTAGAAATTGGGATTAAGAATTATTATACATCTTCATCTTCATTTGTCATGTTTCCACATTTGACTTCATAATTTGAATACATTTGGGGTCGTTTGGATCATATAATGTTTTATTATAAGGGGATATTATATTAACGGAATAAAAGATCACTTTGAAGATTACTGGGAATGTTTAGAAAATGTGTTTGGTTTATTCGAATAAATTGGTGAATAATATGTTTGGTTAAAATGATAAATGGGTGGGTATATTATATGATTACTAAATTGCCCTCATTTTTAAATATTAACAGTATTTTTTTATTATTAATTTTTGAATAATTTTTTTTTACCGCCAACTTTTCAAATTTAGTAAAAACACCCTAGCAACCAAAAATGTTTTAAACTTAACAAAAACACATTTACCCATCCCAAGCCATTGTTGACAGCTAGCCACCACCGCTGGCAATGCCACAGATCTGGTCGTGACGCTGGCAATGCCATAGATCTGGCTGTGAAATGGCCAGGCCTTTGGTAGTGAAACGTCGGCCATATCAGTCGCCGTTTCATGGCCACATTTGGCCTTTTCCGACCATGGATCACATATCCATGGTCAGAAAAATCTTCATGGGCGAACGGTTGGCCATATACGGCCGGTCGTACACCATTATGGCGACTTTTGGTAGCCTCCGACGACGGTCGACAGTGGCTAGCGATGGTGGCTAGTTTTGGGTATAATGATATTTTTGTAAATAATGACAATAACAAGGGCAATGTTGTTTGAAAAATTTAAAAAACTAGGACAAAAGTGTTTGCATGAGTGAATTGTGTGTTTTATAAGTGTTAAAAAATATAAGGTTAATTTGGACCAAATGCTCAACTATTTAGGGGTAACATGGGAAACAAAATTGTATTACCAGGGTAAGTTTTATACAACCCCCGTAGGTATTAAGATTCCTGACAATATACCCTTCAAATGCTACTGTTTATCATAAAATATTCCGAGAATAATTTTTTACAAACCAATCAAACATCGTCATTTACTCAATTTAAAAAATATTACCCCAATTATCTAATATTAACCTGATCCAAACGGCGTCTTGAAGTAATAAAGTTTTGACATTTTCTAATGAAATTTTTAAATGCTATTTTATTTTTTTATTTTTTTCGTGTGTTAACCCCGTCTGCTTGATTTAGGGTCCATGACATAGCCCACATAATCATGGGCCACGCCATACCGTGCTATTTTTCGTGCCGTGCCATGGACTGGCACGACTCACCACTCTAGTTGGAATTAAAGATCTTATTGTTGGTTTTCATTATGTTGGAGTCAAAATTATGTATAAGGGGAAAATTTGCAAAGATGATATCGCCGTCTGTGGGAATCGAACCCACGACCACATGGTTAAAAGCCATGCGCTCTACCGGCTGAGCTAAGATGGCAGGCGTCTAGAGAATTGAGTAATGCTACAGCTACCGAAAGTTGTGCACCGAATGACGTGATAAAATCCTGACCGTTTATTAATATTAATTGATAATGAATCAACGGTCAAGATTTTGCTATGTCATTCGATACACAACTTTCGGTGGCTCTATCATTTTCGCTAGAGAATTAATGTTGGCAATGTTAACTTGACTCACATGGGCTGAACC